GCCACAGCCTGACTCTTATCCAGTACCTGCTTCCAACACTAATAGGTTCAGCGTGTAAGTCAGTTCTTGATTCTGTCTCAACAGTACCCAGTCGCCCAGAAATCCAGTGTATTAATAAAGTGAAGCCTGTGTGGCAAGTCCAGCTCTGCACTGGGACACAGCCCTGGCACACCTCCTGCTGACATGTGCCACTCCTGGAATGCTGGGTCACCCCACCCTCAAACTAACTTCTGGCTGAACTAGGGGTGTCCTGGCTCCAACTAAAAAAGAGGCTTCAGTCCCAGTTTTCACACTTGAACTTTTGGTTCGGGAGCAAAAGCCAAAAAATTCAACCTACCCTAAGCATCAGCCAGGATATAGTTGTTGCCAGGCAGTTCCTGGCTCCCTGGACCAGCAGCCTCCTCTTTTGTGGACCAAGTGGCCAACCTTCTGTAGTTCAGACCTTGCCGGCAAGTTCATGGTCCAACCAGATTTCTTCTTTCGTCTCAATTACTACCTGGTAATGAGTTCCACACATTATAACGTGCATTAATATGTTTCGACAACCAAGATATAGAAGATACATAAACATTTATTTTTAGAATGTTGGCTTTGGAGACTAGAAGAGTTTTGTGGGAGATGGGGTTTTATTTTTAGTATCATACCTGCTCCAACTTGAAGCTGCAGGTAAGTTGAATATATGATTCACCATATCATCCTAACAATTCTACTGTGGTGGGTGTTCTTTCTCTACAATGAAATATTAAATGCAAAAAAAAAAAAAAGAAATATTAAATGCATAGGATTTAGCATGATATCATAGCTACATGAGAGGATAATATATAAGAAATTGACTGTAGCTTGAAGTAATTAATCATGTTTGCAGTACCCACGAATACAATGTGCTATAGTAAAGATGACACAAATCTCAGACTACTGAAAGCACACATTTTGAAGGATCCTGTGACTGTGTATAATAATGAAGATTCTTTCAAGGCCTTGCTTCCAGAACTGGCCTCAAGACACTTGATTTTTATTGTGTTTCCAAATAATCTATTTATGCCACTTGATGTTTAATCAGCAAAATTTACTTTTACGATTCCGTCACATCTTTATTTTCTCTCACTCTCATTTTTAACATCAGGAGTCACAGAATAGTTAACCAGCTAAGTGCACCCAATGAATGCCCTGTCGAGACAAATTCCCACCAGCTCCTGCCTGACTCCAAACCAAGTGAGTATTTTATTGGACCACCCTCCCTCCAAGGCAGTCACTCCGGAATCATTATGTCTTATTGCTGCCATTTTTTATGTCACTTCATAATTGTCCTTTTTTTTTTCTCTCTCTCCTACTCACTTATTATCGCTGAGGCTTCTGTACTGGACAGAAATATTCAACAAAGGAGAGAGAACACACAAAACCTTGAAAGAAGGAAGAAGGTTAACTACTTGTAGTAGTTAAGCACCAGAAAATCCCATAGGTATTCAGACTGGAAAGAAAAAACCAGCTGTGTGTGTGTATACATACATATACAG